AATGTGAACATTGCATCTTTGGCAGAATAACGTATTAGGCATTAGTTGATATTATAAACTTATTTGGCTCGAGAAACACCACCTTTTTGGGATTGACTTTTCCAGAAATTAGAAGTACAGTAGCTTGTAAGCTTTTATGCATGAAAGCCAACAGCCAAAAGCATAAAGTTAAAAAATCCTCGCTCCAATCACCCAAAAATGTTATTTATGATATGGGTAGAATAGAAGGGAAGTATTCAACTTTATTAATTGTGCAATTACGTGCTTGGACTATTTCTCAGACAAATTTCGTCCTTTAACTTCTATATGGAAGAACATGAGGACTAATTGCAGACTCAATAGTTAATTAAGTCTAGTTAAATTTTAAAATAACTAATTAAATCAACAATCAAAGATTTATTTTTTCCCTTTTTCCTCTTACCAGAAGCCTTGCTGCTCAGTCTAATTGCTCTCTGATATGAGAAGAAAATGAGGACCAATTGAAGAGTTTTCTTTTTCATAAAGTTTGAATCTACAAAACTATGGGTAGTTTTCAAAATTTTGCTTTCAACTTTCAAGCCCAACACAGAAAATTTGATTTCAAAAACTTGGTTCTCCCTTTCTCCAACACGTAACACATTCTTTATTAATTTTATAAATCTAGTTATAAATAATTAATTACTAAGTTGGCAATATATTCTTTTCTCTTTTCAGTATAAAAGTTGGTGGCTAAATTTAGTTAAATTCCCGAATTTCACAAATTGATTAAATTTATGCACTTTGATAAATTTTGTTTGTGTATGATTTTTTTTCTACTTTCAAGTTCTCCTATACTATATAGATATATTTATTACATTGTCATGACCCAAACTCGAGCCTATGACTGGCACTAGAGTCCACAATCCCTAGTAAATCTCACATCAACATCACATCATTAATACCAATCACATAGCAAACATAACTCACATCTTCAAATATAAACCAGAATCTTGTTTGAGAAAATAAATGAGCAACTAGAGAACAAAAATGAATACAATATGAAAAGTATCTGTGCATCAAATGAGTCACAGGAATTAACTCTAACACCCCACTAGCTAGAATACGAACAGTTAACCTGATCTGCAAAGTTATCAAAATGTGAGTCGCTAAACTCAGTGAGTAACAGATGATACCTATTCTAGTCATGTTAGAATATGCACTACAAATATATCAAAACATACATATGCATACGCAATGAGTAGTACAGTATATCAAAACATACAGTGGGAGTATCATCATATACAGTTATCATATCTCACGGTAGAGCGTATTATGTCCGAGACATCACAGCTTCACATCGAACTCAAGGCACTCACCAATGGACACTATGAATTATCGTCCTCTTGCTAAGCCTTTAACATCCCCATCACATTACAATAGTGTGCATCATGTCTGAGGCCTCGTAGCCTCATACCAGACTCAAGGCCCTAGCCACTAGATGCTACGGATTATTGTCCCCTAGTGCGAGCTCTTGACATCCCCATCTCATCGCACGATACCACTCCCCATATATTTTCGGTAAACATTTCACTCATACATGTATACAGTTTGTATATTAACATAAGTCTGTCAAAACATATACCATCAAATGCTCACTAACATATCAAAACACATCAATTCATATCTCAAAGGTTTCACATATAATCAAAATACCATATGCATCAAAACCATTTTCCATGTTATAAATCACAATACGAAAACACGTGTATAGAAAGGGTATCTTCACTCACAAGTTAAAGCTGAGCCAAAACCCGAGTCGCTATCCCAACTCAACAGTTACCCTGCGTCTTTGCTAGTGTATCTACAACCATAATAACATATAATCAAAATCACAACTCGAACCGACACAAGAAAGGACTCGACCACCCAAAATCGGGCTCTAATCCCACTTGGAACCCTTACACACATCCTAAGTCTCATTTCCCATCACTCAGAACCCACATGACTCAAGTACACACATCTGTTTCCCTTAAAAGCCCTTAAACTGCATTGAACTAGTCTCCAAAACCCTTGAACCAACCTCAAACTCCCTTAAATTAGCTTGCACTGGCCAGAAACACATCAAAATTGAACTAAATCAGCCTCAAATCCCTAAAACCAGATTGAACTAACCTTAAATACCCAAGAACCAGACTAAGTCGGCCTTAAAACCCTTAAACCAAGCCAAACCAAGCTATTTGCACACAAAACTAGTTCAAATAGCACTGAACTGGCAAGTTTTTTGATGAACCAAACCCCTCGAAGGTGTGAACTAGTCTTACCTTCGTGGAACCGGTCTAAGTTTCCATTGAACAAGCTGATTTCCCACTAATCAGCCTCTAAACCATTTATGTCCTAAATCTAGAACCTTGGATACTTTATCCGATCCCTAGTTATTCAATTTTAACTTTCTTCTATTCTATCCTTGGGATAGCATATTCTAGAGTCAATTTGCCAAGTTGACTAGTCAACCCATTGATTTTGCTCACTAGGCCGAGTAGACCCACTGAGTCAACTCACCCAACTTGGCCCAATCCTTTCCTCCTTAATCTAGCCCAACTAGCGGCCCAACACATTGGCCTAGCCTAAACCAACCAAGTCCAAGCCCAACTCACCAGCTCAGCCCACTCGGCTTGGCCCAACCCAAGCCCATCCAGCCCAGCCCACTTGGGTTAGCCCGGCCCAGGCCTAATTGACCCAAGCCCAAACCAGCTTAGCTCGGCTAAGTCGACTTGGTGAGCTGAGTTAACTCAGCTAGGTCAACTTAGTACAGACCCGAATACCATTTGCATCTGTTTTCTTCACCCAAAACCCAACTCTGCCAACCCGGTTCCCAACCCAAATTTTTGCAACAAGCTCGAAAACAAAAAAACCTCAAAATTTCCAAATTCAAGGACATACTTAGATTGATTGATGGTCAAAGGTTGGAGTCCTGGATCAAGCAAACCAATCTACGTGCATTAATCAGATTGAAATCGATCGAAACTACACAGAAATGTAGAAATCCAGATCTGGCTGTGTGCGCAATAGTTGACCAAAGACCACGCAATTTCTTTTTCAAATCTCACATGAATCACAAAATTGGTTGAGGGAAACAAGTTGTCAACACCTAACGCACCTAAATAAGCCATCAAAATCTAGAAAAGTGGCTTGAATGATCATGGCATGGCATGAACATTTTTGGTCCACTATTGGACTGAAAGTCCCTATTCATTCATGATCCAGTCCCTTTGACTTTTATTTCATTCAATTTCATCCTTCTGAACTTTCTAATTTGGTACACGAGCTTTTAATTCCTTCAATTTAACCCCCGATAGTTTCAATTTAACCCTAAACTCTTCTGATTTCTCAAATCAACCCCCAGACTTATAATTTCTGCAATCTTATCCTTCCAAAATTATAATTTGATTCCAGTTACTTTTAATTTTAGCAATTAAGCTCCTAAACCCAATTAAATTACCAAAAATAAAAAATTTTTAAAATTTGGGTCATTACATATATGATGTATAATTGTTGTGATTAGTTTGATAGATTATGAATTTGTTGAAATAAACATGTGGAAATAATTTTTTAGATGTCCAATTTTAGGAGAAGTTTTGTTGAAATTTTTTAAAAAATAGTGAATCTAATTCATTTTTTTCCTCAAATCATAAATCATGATTTCAAATTAAATCGAATCATAAATTGTAATTTGATTTAATTTTAAAAAGATAACAACTATGAAATATAATTTATTTTGTAGAAATTCCTCTTTGACTATTCTTCATTGACTATAGAAAAAGACACGTGATAAGTCATCGCATATGACAACATAACATTCAGTGGTTGATTTATTTGCGCTACTGGCAAGTAATTTCATTTAATATATTTGAAAAGTCTGAAATTACTCGATTTAATATTTTATGAAAACACCTAATTTAGGCAAAGACAAAATTGCCCATTCAATAATATTAGATAACAACAACATTGTCGAACTAGCAAAATCATTCAGTTTAAATGAGTATTTTAATACCTAAAATCTAAGATTACAAATAGAGTTAGACAAGCTTGAGCTTTCATATTATAACAATTTATCAAAATCTTTTAGGTGATTTTGTTTTTAAAATCTTAAAAAAAATGCATTAATTTGAGTGGTAAAGGCAATTATACGAAAATTAACTTGAGTTGATCTAATAGTAAAGAAATATTTACATGACTATGATTTTGATTGAATATAAGACGTTTAAACAAACACAACAAAAATAGGAGTTATTTGGCCAATTCTACGTCGGTAAGAAAAATATTGTTAGTTATTAATTATTATTTTGATTAATGAAAATAAAAAATGCAAAAATAAGGATGCCATCTCATGCACGGCAAGCCATGCCCTACAGTTGATTGACTGACTCTGCTAATTGAAAATTCAACCATAAAAATCTAAGTTGAATTGGTCTACGATAATTGTTCATGAATATTTGTCAAGAAGCCCGAAAAGCCCGACCACTTTTTGCGACTTCTAGGATGCTGCGTATAAGTTTACTCATTCAATTTTCGTATATTTAATGTATCAACACTTCTGTATTTTTGTTGCAACTTCTGTTTGTAATCCAACAAAATATAGGATAAGGTCACTGTTGCTGGTTCCTAATTTGGGTCCACATTAGTTGAAACAAAATTCTCTCTTTCTCTCTCTCTCTCTCTCTCTCTCTCTATATATATATATATATGTATATATATAATCGTAGAACTCATCTCAGTGGCCAACATATTCCAAAAATTTGAAATTGCAGCATCAATGTTTGGAGAATTAGTGCAAATACGAGTTTTCCTATCAACATCCAGGCAAGCTACTTTCTCCACCTCTCTCAATAATGCATCAGGGTAATTCCCGGCTGCTGAACCAGTCTGTAATAGACTAGAAGTTAACGACAGATAAATCATAAAACGCCATTCTCGTAAAGAAGACTTGGGGGAGACTTCTATTTCCATAGTGAAATTTGTGGAACTCCACTCTATTTATAAAGCTCCCTTGGCATCTCCTATCCTGCATAGAGCCTCAAATTTCTAGTTTGATCATGGATTTCTTTCTCATTCTCCTTTCAATCCACTTCTTTTTTTGCTTTCTGCACCCATTTGCAACCGCTCAAAACATTACTTTGGTTTCTTCCCTCACTGCAAATGGGAGCAATTCGTCTTGGGTGTCACCATCTGGTGACTTTGCCTTTGGTTTTCGAAGTATCAAAACCAACGGTTACTTACTAGCCATTTGGTTCGACAAAATACCAGAGAAAACCATAGTTTGGTCGGCCAAAGTGGATGCCTTAGCCGAAGAAGGGTCCAAAGTTCAATTCACGACAGATGGAAAGTTCATGCTTCTTGACCCCAGTGGAAAGCAAATATGGCCGTGTAACTTGAGCAAGGGTGGAGCTGCCTATGCCACCATGCTTGATAGTGGCAACTTCGTTGTAGCAAAAACCAGCGGGGCCATCCTATGGCAGAGCTTTGACGAACCAACTGTTACGATCCAAGGTGTTTTGATGTCACTTGTTGGGGCTAGCACTCCCATAGAAAAAGTATACACACACAATAAATTTAGGAATGGGTAAAATAGAGACACCAAGATTTACGTGAAAAACCCAAATCGGAAAAAACCACGGACAAAGAGGAGAAAAATATTACCACTATAGGAAGGAATTTTACACAAGATTCTCTAGTATTTTTACCAACTCGAGATACCACTCACAAAAAAATTCTCACTTTCGTATCACTTTCACTACAGTAACCTCACCCTCTACACAAGAGAATATTTTTTACCCTCTCTCTAACTTGAGAGTCTCTCTTTAACTCTCTTCTTCCTCTCTTTGTTGGTGTGCAAAAAGGATGCCAGGCCTTCCTCTATTTATAGGAGAAGAAGGCCGAACATTTTCTTCTCCGTGAGTTGGCTCCAGCGTCGGCTCTCCAATTTGTCAAAATGAATCTGCAGCTAAAAGAGAAAAGATTGAAAATCCCTTTTTAATAGTCAAAAAGGGAATGCAGTAGCCGCAACTGGGTGGTAAAATGAAACAAAGTCTTTTGGCTTTGCATGCGGACTAGACCCCACGAATCTCCCCCTCCAGACCCATGCTTCTGTGAGGAGATTGTTGACATTCTTCTAAGTAGAGCTCATACCGACAAGTTCTTTGCATATTTCGAACTTGTCACGAGGAATCACCTTAGTCATCATATTTAAAGGGTTTCTATCAGTGGAGATCTTTTTCAGCGAAAGAGACTTATCTTCCACCTGCTCTCTTATCCAATGGTACTGCATATTGATATGCTTTGTTCATGAGTGATACATGGAGTTTTTGCTCAAGTCTATTGCACTTTGACTGTCACAATAGACCACATACTCCTTTTGGTGCAGACCAATCTCTTGAAGAAATCTCTTTAGCCAAATCATTTCTTTCCCTGCTTCTGTAGCAGCAATGTACTCGGGTTCAGTTGTTGACAGTGCGACGCACTTTTGCAACTTTGACTACCATGATATAGCTCCCCCTAAAAATGTAAATACAAACCCAGAAGTGGATTTTTTGTGATCAGGATCACTTGCCATATCAGCATCTATAAAACCTCTAAGATTGCATCTAATCCCCCAAAGCATAGACATGTCTTTGATGTATCCTTTAGATATCTGAGTATCCACTTTACAGCTTCCCATTGTTCTTTTCCCAGATTGTCAAGAAACTGACTAACCACTCCAACAGCATGAGCAATATCTGGTCTAGTACAGACCATGGCGTACATCAAGCTTCTAACTGAGGAATAGGGAACTTTGGCCATCTTCTCTTTTTCTTCAATTGTTGTAGGACACATCTTCTTGCTCAACTTCAAGTGACCAGCAAGTGGAGTGCTAACTGGTTTAGCATCCTTCATATTGAAGCATTCTAGAACACGCTCAATATAATTTTCTTGAGACAATCATAGCTTTTTCTCCTTCCTGTCCCAAACAATCTTCATCCCCAAGATTTGTTGTGCAAAACTCAAGTCTTTCATATTAAAAGTCTTGAATAGGTCTTTCTTCAGTTTGGTTATCTGCTCCTTGTCACGTCCTACAATCAACATGTCATCCACATACAACAACAAAATAATAAAGTTTTTGTTAGAGAACCTTTTGAAGTACACACATAGATCTGAAAGAGTCCTCTTGTATGCTTGACTCTTCATAAATGAGTTGAACTTCTTGTACCACTGCCTTGGTGCCTGCTTTAATCCATACAAGCTCTTATTCAATTTGCACACCATGTGTTATTTTCCCCTGACTCTGAATCATTCTGGCTATTCCATATAGATTTCTTCTTCCAAATCTCCATGAAGAAATGCAGTTTTCACATCCAACTGCTCCAATTTGAGATCTTGGCTAGCTGCTAAGCCTAAAATTGTTCGAATAGAATTCATTTTCACAACTAGTGAAAATATTTCATCAAAGTCAATTCTTTTCTTTTGTCTGAACCCTTTGACCACTAGTTGAGCTTTGTGTCTGACCAGCTTGCCATTTCCATCTTTCTTCACTTTAAAGGCCCATTTGCATTTGAGTGGTCTTTTACTTTTTGGAAGTTCAACCAGCTTGTACGTGCCATTTTTTCACAAACAGTTCATCTCTTCTTTCATGGCTTCCATCCACTTGTCTTTTTCTAGATGTGTCAATACTTCTTGAAAATTCTCCAGCTCCCCCTCTTCAGTAATAAGAACATACTCAGAAGACGGATACTTGGATGACGGTTTCTTTTCTCGTTCAGATTGCCTGAGAGGTAATACTGTTGCTTCTGGTAGGGTGGGTTGCTCCCCCAGCTGTTGCTCCTCTGACTCCTCCTGTTGTTGTTCATCCAGCTCCTGTTGTTGCTCCTCCAGCTTCTCAACCTCATCATCAGTTTCTTCTGGTATGATATCTTCTCCATTTGTGGCATGATTTGATGGAGATGGAATGGTAATTTCATGTGAAATCACACCATTCTCCTTTTTGGCCTTCTCCATTTGGGTATCAACTCCAAACTCATCTTCACGAAAGACCACATCTCTACTCCTGATAATCTTCCTCTTCTCTGGGTCCTACAGTCTGTAGCCGAATTCTTCATCTCCACATCCGACGCAGATACAGGGAATAGCTTTATCATCAAACTTCAATCTCTGCTCCTTCGGCACATGGACAAAAGCTTTGTAGCCGAACACTTTCAAATGAGTGTATGACACTTTTTTTCCTTTCCATACTTCTTCAGGGATATCAAATCCCAGTGGAACTGATGGACTTCTATTGATGATATAGTAGGCCGTGCGAATTGCTTCACCCTAGAATGACTTAGGCAGTTTCGTCATTCTAAGCATGCTTCTCACCCTTTCAACAATAGTGCAGTTCATTCTCTCAGCCACACCATTGTGTTGTGGTGTTCCAGGAATAGTTTTCTCACGTCTGATCCCATGGTTAGAGCAATATCCTTCGAACTCTCTTGAGATATATTCTCTACCATTGTCTGATCAGAGACACTTCAGCTTTCGACTTGTCTCCCTTTCCACCATTGTATAGAATGATTGAAATGCCTTTGGTTTTCAGGAGATAAATCCACACCTTTCTCGAAGCATTGTCAATAAAAGTAATGAAGTATTTGTTTCTGCCCATCGATTCAACCTCTATAGGACCACAAACATCAGAATATACCATATCCAGTATATCTGATTTTCTATCAAGAGTCTTCTGAAAAGATACCCTATGTTGCTTGCCCAATAAGCAATGATCACAGGGTTTAAGTGATGTACCTTTGGCCAGAGAGATAAGTGATCTTTTTGCCAAGATTTGTAACCCCTTTTTACTCATGTGTGCCAATCTTCAATGCCACAAGTTTGCAGATTGTTCTCCTTCGGCCACGTTCACCTCGCCATGACAAATTTCAACATTTGTCTTATACAGCATGTTGGACGCCTTTCCTTTTGCTACCACCAGCGATCCCTTGGTGAGTGTCCACGTCCCATTTGCGAAGCGATTTGCATATCCTTCACGATCAAGGACAATCCCTGATATCAAATTCATCCGCATATCAGGAACATGTCAGACATTCCTTAAAACAAGTGTGCATCTGACATTTGTCTTGACACGAATATCACCAATTCCCACGATCTTGGAGAAACTGGTGTTTCCCACCTTCACTGTACAAAAATCTCCTGCTTTGTACGTGCAGAAGAAATCTTTGATTGAAGTGAGATGATAGGATGCTGCTATGTCAACAACCCATTCTAAATCTGATGTGGACATCAGCATGCACTTCTCTTCTTCGTTCATGACAAGGGCCACAGAATCATCATTCTATACTGATGCAGTTGTATTTCTATCATCACTTTTCTTCCTTTGTCCACCATTTTGCTTTGGTGGGTGTGGACAGTTCTTCTTAAGCTGATCTTGTTGACCACAATTCCAACAGCCTCTGCCTCGTGATTTGAACCTTCCTCTGGATTTGCCACGCCATTTGCCTGGATTTCTTTCTGGATTCCTCCCTCTATCCTCGGTGACGAAAGCTTGTCCCGAGCTTTCTGGCTTCTTTTTCATATTCTCATTGAGTAAGATAGCTGATGTGACTTCTCCTAGCTCAATGGTGGTTTTGCCGTGGAGGATTATCGTTGCCAAATTGTCGTAGGAGGATGACAACGAATTCAGGAGTAAGATTGCTCTGTCTTCTTCCTCAATTTTTACTCCAACATTTGCAAGCTGCGTGATTAGTCCATTAAATACATTTAAATGAGACAGAAAATTTGTACCTTCCCGCATCTGGAGTGCATAGAGTTGTTTCTTTTGTACAATTTATTTGTCAACGTTTTGGACATGTACAGACTTTCTAGCCTTGTCCAAATTTTGTTTGTGCCAGACTCATTGATGACATTATTGAGAACATCATCTGATAGGTGTAGTCTGATTGCACTAGCCGCCCTTTCATCTATGTTGGTCCAATTTTCATTTGTTATAGATGTCGGCTTTTTATCTTCTAGCGCCTTGTGAAGGCCTTGTTGGATTAACAAATCCTTCATCATTCTTTGCCATGTGGAAAATCCATCAGCTCCGTTGAATTTTTCCACATCATATTTTACTCCCGACATTTTCACAAAATTTACTGTGAATAGTGCCCGTGTACAGTGCTGTATATGTGAATAGTACTACCGTACGTATGAACAGTACCATACATATGACTAGTACCAGTATGTATGAACAGTACACGTACGTATAAACAAGTACCAGTATGTATAAATAGTACAAGTACGTATGAACAGTCACGTATGTATGAACGGTACTTGTACGTATGAACAACTGTAAGAATAATGCTAACCTTGGCTTTGATACCACTTGTTAGGATCCAAGGTATTTTGATGCCACTTGTTGGGGCCAGCACTCCCACAGAAAAAAAATATACACACAGTAAATTTAGGAATGGGTAAAATAGAGACACTAAGATTTACGTGGAAAAACTCAAATCGGGAAAAATCACGGACAAAGAGGAGAAAAATATTACCACTATAGGAAGGAATTTTACACAAGATCCTCGAGTATTTTTACCAACTCAAGATACCACTCACAAAAGAATTCTCACTTTTGTATCACCCTCACTACAGTAACTTTACCCTCTATACAAGAGAATATTTTTCACCATCCCTCTAACTTTAGAGTCTCTCTTTAACTCTCTTCTTCCTCTCTTTGTTGGTGTGCAGAAAGGATGCCTGGCCTTCCTCTATTTATAGGAAAGGAAGGCTGAACATTTTCTTCTCCGTGAGCTGGCTCCAGCGTCAGCTCTCGAATTTGTCAAAATGAATCCACAGCCAAGAGAGAAAAGATTGAAATCTCTTTTTAATAGTCAAAAAGGGAATGCAGTAGCCGTAACTGGGTGGAAAAATGAAACAAAACGTTTTGGCTTTGCATGGGAATTGGACCCACACCAACAGACACCATATTGCCGACGCAAATACTAGACCTAGGAAGCAAACTCGTAGCTCGTCACTCTGAGGGAAACTACTCAAGCGGAAGGTTTGAGCTCAGGTTGCAAAGTAATGGAGATCTTGGGTTTTTCACCAGGAATGTCCTGTTGGATGCCATCAACTCACCTTATTTGGAAATCCAAAGCGGTGGCAGTGGCCATCAAGTGAAGTTTAATCAGTCTGGCCTCATCTATTTCAACGCAATTAATGGAAGTGTATTGGGATTTTTATCAAACAAAACTTCAACGAGCCAATTCTACCAACGGGCGATTCTTGAATATGATGGGGTTTTTAGGCACTATGTCTACCCAAAATCAGCTAACTCAACTGGTGGCGGGCAAAAGAATTGTACCACTATCTCCTTTGTGCCACCAAATAAATGCACGAGTGTTATCCAAGAAATGGGAGCTGAGGCTTGTGGTTTTAATAGCTACTGCCAGATTGAAAGTGACGGAAGGCGTCAATGCTTGTGCCCATCAGGCTATATCTTCTTTGATCCAGATGATGAGATGGGTGGGTGTAAGCCAAAATTTTTGGCTCAGAGTTGCGATACAGAGTCCCAAGAAGCGGATCATTTCAACTTTTCTGAAGTGGTTAATTTGGACTGGCCGTGGTCTGACTACGAGCATTACGAGTTGGTGAATGAAGAGTGGTGCAAGGATGTCTGCTTGAACGATTGTTTTTGTGCTGTTGCCATTTTCGGAAATAATAACTGCTGGAAGAAGAAGAACCCTCTCTCCAACGGGAGGCTTGATCCAAGTGTTGATAGGCATGCTTTTGTGAAAGTAAGGAACGACAATTCCACTTTTTCTACGAAACTAGTAGGACCGAAGAAGAAGGATCAAACCCTTTTAGTTATTGGATTAAGCAGCTTAGCCCTTCTCCTCTTCCTTTTACTCCTGTTAAACTTTCTTGGATTTAATTGGTTTCGTAAGAGAAATTTAAAGGTCCTACCGGAATATGCAAATAAAGAAAGCAAGAAAGATTTGGGAGTTTTCACTTATAAAGAACTTGAGGAAGCAACTAATGGATTCCAGGAGGTAATAGGTAAGGGTGCTTTTGCAACAGTTTATAAAGGGATCTTGGAGGCCAAAGATGGAATGGTTGTTGCGGTGAAGAAGTTGGACGGGCTGGAGAGAGAAAATAAGAAGGAATTCAAGGCAGAAGTGAGCGCCATAAGCGGGACAAATCACAAAAACTTAGTTCGCTTCATAGGATACTGTGAAGAGGGGCAACACCTCCTCCTTGTTTATGAATTCATGAGGAATGGCTCTTTGTCTAGCTTCCTATTCCAAAGCCCAAGGCCCAACTGGTACACAAGAGTACAAATTGCTTTTGGAGTGGCCAGGGGGCTTTACTATTTGCACGAAGAGTGCAATTGCCAGATCATTCACTGTGACATCAAGCCTCAAACTATTCTTTTAGATGGCCAATTAGAAGCAAGAATATCAGATTTTGGATTAGCCAAGCTCTTGAAGGCAGATAAGAGCCAAACAACCACTGCAATAAGAGGAACAAGAGGGTATGTGGCATTAGAATGGTTCGCCAACAAGCCCATTACAACCAAAGTTGATGTCTATAGTTTTGGTATCATGCTATTGGAGATAATATGTTGCAGGAGAAATTTTGAAGCAGAAGGAAAGACTGAGAAGGAAATGGTGTTAGAAGATTGGGCTTACAAGTGTTATAAAGAAAGGAGGTTAGAGCTTTTGGTGGAGAATGATGCAGAAGCTATGAATGACATGAACGGGGTGGAGAAATTTGTGATGATAGCACTATGGTGCACTCAGGAGGATCCGTCTTTGAAGCCAACCATGAAGACTGTCTCACTCATGCTTGAAGGAGTTTTAGAAGCCCCTGTCCCACCGGATCCCCCCTCTTTTGTTCGTTCTAAGTAAATCATCTTGCTTTAGAAATTGTGTGTGACAGTTTGTACTTCTGAATCAATACTGTGTGTTTTGCTTTTTGGAGGAGGGGAAGGACTATGAAGCCAACTCTTGACCCCAGTGATGAACTTGTGAAGTGCCTAGTTATCTATTGTTCCTGTTTCAGGTCTCAATCAGTAAGAGAACAGAAATTTAAAAGATTATGTAGTAGGAGGGATCAAAGTAGAATTTTGTTTTAGCTTGGATATTGTATTGTGTAATAGAAAATGTTGATGGAATAAATGTATAATTATATAAATATTGGGTGGTCTATCTTTTGATTTTAATAAAAAGATAATGCCGGTCAAAAAATTAAAAGAAGGGTGAATGTCAAACCGTAAGGAACATAGGTACAATCTTTCAAAGCTTTAAGGGGGCATGGCCCTGAAAGACCCCCATGTCTTCATCTCTAAAGCATACAAATCTTTTATGAAGCAAAAACCAAATTTAGATTATATTATTATAGAATTTCAAAAATTAAGGAGAGTTATCAGCACAATTCAATTTGTTGAATGCATTCTCTCCGGACTCCTCATTAACCTGCTAGATTAAACAAACAATCAAATTGTGATACAACCGCAATAAACCATTACTACTTTCTCATTTATGTGGGATTTATCTTTTTATTATTTGTACCGCCAAAAATTAGGAACATAAAACTTGAGTAAAATTATAACAAAATATATCAGATAGATGAGATTTACTGTCAAATACTAAAAATTATTAAGCCCTTATAAAATGCTTTAATTTTATTCTTAAGCATGTAAGCATTTAAGGCATACCTTCCATAAGACAACAAAGAAGAGAGCTTGGTGCCGGATAGAGTCCACATTCACCCGGGGGAATCATTTAGCCAATCTCAACTACTTGGTGCTAAAAGTTAGAACTGTACAACAAGATTGGGCACTATGAAACATACACCTACAAAAAACTTGTTGAAAATAATGATCGCCACAATCAAATTCAGAAACAGGAGCTAAAGCTCTCAGATTGAGAGTTTTCATCAAGCTTTCGAGTCCCACACATTTTTTCTTCTAATTTGAGAATATAATGAGATGTAGATTAATCTTTGAACAACCAAAAACCATGAAACAATCAGAGTTGTGCTAGATGGGAAATATTGAGAGTTTTCAACATCAACATAATAGGTAAATATTGGGCACATCAGCCTCAAATTAAACAGTTTTAGACATTGGTGAGAATCATTTTGAAAACTCGTGTAGTGGAAATCATTCTTCTAACCCAACACGAAAACTGTGATCAAGTTCCAGTTGCACTGGCATATAAGAAATGACCATGGCTGAACGAAACATATAGTGAGCGGATCAAGCTCGAAAAGTCATGCTTATAATGGAAGTTGCCAGAAATTCTGTAGGACAACAAATATCATTCACCGTACACCACAAAGAAAGGAAACAGACTTCAAAATAAATGTTGCAATGGCATGGAAAGATAGACAGTCCATGATAATTAATTGCTTAGAAGAAAAAGTTTCCAGCTCCATTTCCAAACTCTAGTGTACCCCCAGAGTAATCTCAAAAACTTACATTTATTTCAATTTAAATGCATCAGTTCAATAAACATGCTCAAAAAATGTCTATATAATATATATTGAAAATTGATATAACATGCCGTTGTATCCCTTCATATAATTTGCATTAATGTCCCCATTTATACAGGTGGACTTGTAATTATTTCTAATAGGATGATCTTGACATCCAATGTTTTGAATGTATAATTAACATTCTCTCACTCATTGCAAGATTTAGAATCACTTTCTTTAAGCTTGGGCAAATTCCAGGTTTTTATGTAAGTTTCAGGACAGATTTGATAACTCTGGAATGGGGTCTCTGATTCCAACAGTGTTTTGGACTATTTTAGCAATTTAGAGATCGAATCATTTTTAGAACTAGTCTTCTTCATGGGCTTTCTGTTTTCAAATTTACTTTCTTTAAATTGTATGAACAAAATAAATTTTATTCTCATTGAGATCTTTATGATGCAGTAAGACTTCAACTACTCTCATAGTTAAATGGGAAGAGACAACTTGTCATACTCCAAAACCAGGTGCGTGACCAGCACTGAGGCTGGTTTCCCAACTCTAGTAAATCTCACATAGAATAACATTTACAACACATAAATTAATAAATTACTCAAAATCCATATAACTGGGATAAACCTTTCTAATAAATAATGGAGCAACTGTAAAATACAAGTGACTAAGAACATAATTCTGGACATTTGTAGCAGCCCATCAGAACCCACATGCTCAATCAAAAAAACTGTGTCGGTGAGAGAAGTCCACACTATGAACTAAAAATGTTGGGAAATGGGTGAGTACGGACTCAGTGAATGATAATACTGATTCTAGTCATGCTGAGACATTCATCGCGAAATGTGTTAAAACATATATGTAACAATAAGCAAATGTACACATTTATTAAAACCACACATGTATGCCTCATCGATCCAAAAACACATGGGAGTATTGGAGAACCAGAACAAAACCAAAATCTCATCTCATGATAGAGCGTATCATGTCGGAGACGGCACATATCTCATATCATACATACCATATATTGTATATTGGGATCCTGTACTGAATCAAAACCTGAGTCAGAACCAAAACCAAAATACCCATAAGGCACATAGTGCCTAAACACAACCATGTCCATATGAGCTAAACTCAAAACAACTTCTATCAAGAAATTTTTGGAAAACACATATATACATATAATAGAGGCAAAATTTTTATATCAAATAAAGGAATTCAAAAGCTCACTGAATCTTTTTTCTTTTTAACAAATCGAATACTTGTCCTAGAATTTAGTTTCCAAAACCAATCACACATTTCAAATCAGATAGATAATAATAAGAATCAAAGTACATGCATAGAGAAAATATTATCACTCACAGTATATAACTGGCCAAAACCAGAACCTTCGGGTATCCTCAGCCATCAAAACGTGTCATCTCAGGGTATTTGTAACAATAGTGATACGTATTTAATCAAAACTAGATTTGAAATGGAAACTATTTAAAGACTCGATTCCCTAAACTGCTCCTTGGTTCCTTCTTAAACTTTTGGGACGTATTTTGAGACTCATTATTTAACACCCAAACCCAAAGCAACTCGAGACGTGAACTAACCTTGTATAAAAGCCCTTAAATCGAAGTGAACCAACACCAATTATCCCTGATCCAACCTAAACTGGGCCCGAACACCCTTGAATCTAGCTAAATCGGACTTAAACGCCTTAGAACCAAGTTGTACCAGATCAAAATCCCCTGAAATTGTACCAAATCGAGCCAAAAACTCCTCAAACTGGACTAAAACAGGCTCGAATACCCCTGAACTGGGCTGAACCAAGCCTAAAACCCCTTGAATAGGACTGAATTAGGCCCAAAATCCCTTGAACCAGACTAAACTGGGCCCAAAACCCTTTGAGTTGAACTGAATTGGCACCAAAACCTCTTAAAGCAGACTAAACTGGGGCCAAAACCTCCTGAACCATGTTTAGCCGGACCAGAACTTCCCTAATTCCCCTTGAACCAGTTTGAAACCCTCTTATTTCCCTTTGAACCAATTGAAATCCCCCTAATTTCCCCTGAACCGGACTAGAGTCTCCCTGTTCCAGACCAAACCAAACCCAACCCTTTCTCCAGAACTATCTAACCCAAACTAAACTTTGTGAACTGGGCTTAATAACCCAAAACTATAGAGAACCCTAACTGAACTAACCTAGTTAAGCTGACTCATCCAGCTGAGGCAGTCAAACTTGGCTCAATGGATTTGAGCCAATGTGGATCTGGAAGCTGCTCGAGTCCTTCTCCTTAACCTAGAAACTCGGGTTTAACCCAGTTTCTTGAAATTTTAACTTGGCGATTCTCAAAAACAAAAACAAGAAAGATTGATGCATACCTTGCTTCAAGAACCCAATCCAAGGTTACGGATAGTAAAACCAAGCAAGGCCCAATTGTTTTCTAGGAACAATTTCATGGAAACAGTTCTCAGAAATCAAAATTCCCAACAACCCCCGAACCAAATGCCCAAGCAACTTAGCTCCAAAATTCAAGCATGAAATTGAGTGAAACCTGAAATTAACTTGGGGGAAATCTCGACCACAAGCATGTGCACCTATGTATATATGTATACAAGAGAGTCGGCCACCGATTCAATGAAATTTTTCCAGAACTTCCAGTCAGTCGCCAACTAGAAGTTTTTTGGTTTTTCACTTCGACCCCAAAATTTTAATTCCTTTTAGTTGCACCCAATCATATTCTGAGTTTGGCCCCAATTTTTGCACCTTTTTACTTTGGACCCATCTATTTATTTCCTTTCAATTTAGCCCCTCAAATGTTAGATTTGTTCCCCCAATTTCCTGATTTCTTAATTAGATCCCCCAAATCCTTAATTTAATCAAGAATGATCTTCCAGATTTATAGTTTACCCCCAAATACTTCCATTTTGTGCAATTAAGCCCTTAACATAAATGTTTATAAAGTTTCACTTTAATAAATAAAAATTAGGATCATTACACAACTCCTCGTGTACCTAAGATTAAAGTGGATGCACCTTGTATTCCCAGTTCTTGGTAATTCTCAAGGAGAGGAATTCAAAACCTTGCTACTGCGAGAACTTTGCAGGGATCAAATGTAACTTTTGAGAAAATGATGTCATTCCTTTGCAGCCAAATGCACCCTCAGAAAGTAATGATTTTCCAGCAAGTCCTTATCTAGAGCTAGTTGAATCCAAGAGACAAAGCACTTCTTAAACTATTTGGATTCCCAAATAAAAATTGAATCCAAAGTTGGAAGCTATTCGGATTCTCCTAATAAGAGGACATTCCAGAAATACGTGTTCCAATTATTCCTCTTCCATTCAGCCAAAAAGAGCAAGCATTCCATATCAATTAACATTCCTCTTCTTTTGTGCTCCACTTTAGAAGGGATGGAGCCATTTAGAATTCTCCAAACAGACATTACCAGGTTTGGAGGATCACTTAAAATACCAAACCTTTTTCTAATCATTAATTGCTGTTGCTAATCGGCTGACTTTGCTAAATAGTAAATGAATTTAACCAAGAAAGAACCATTAGTGCAGCATTTCACCAAGAACTATGATTTTTGAGGATTAATTTCCAATATATATATATA